TTCCATATACATCCATAAATTGCATTACATTGATAAATTTCAAAACGTAGATTAAATACGTCCGTCCATTCCATATCTAAAAATTTATTCCGTATCAAATATAGGGAAATTCTTATACATTCTGTATGTTTATTTTCTATAGGGATAGTATATATCAAAGTTGGTTTCATTTTATTTTCTTTCTAATAAATTACCCCATTTTTACTTGTGACACTTGTGACAGTAATCAATAAAGAAATGAAAGAGCAAGAAAGGTGTCACAAGTTCTGTCACAAGCTGATTTTTTTACTTGTGACACTTGTGACAAGAAAAAAACGCCATTAACACCTTTCCTGGAGTGGTACTTATGGGTGATCGTCAACACATGTTGACAATGGATATGGATGCTACATGGTGGAGTCAGATTTTTATCTACACTTTTAGTGATTGCTATTGATGTCCATAATGATGGACTTTTGGTGACACTGTTGATTTCAATGCTAGATAAATTTTTTATTACACTATTTTTTACTACCTGATCAACATGGCTAGAAATTGAAAATTGGCCACGTTCGAAATTGTGAATTGAGACACATCCCGCCTTCGAGATTGCTTTTCCTAAAGTGCTACGTAAATGCAAAACACACCTCACTCGAATGAGGCTGAAAATGACTCTTCACCAACCCGCAATCGAATGATGACATACAAGTGAATGCAATGTCAGTATGCATATGAATACTATTTTTTTACGTGGCCAGAAACAAAAAATTGGCCACATACAAATTCCATGATTCCATCTGGGTGGCTAAAAAATAAAAAATGGCCGCACGTGGGAGTGGGAGTTATAGTCTAAAATAAGTGGGGATATTATAGTATAGATATACTATAATATCCCCACTTCTTTTACTGTTACTATTTATTATTTTAAATGATTACCATAAATTATCTTTTAATTGTTTTTTAATAAATCATTTTATGATTTCATTTTTGATACTAAGTCATCACATAATTATAGTTGGACAGTTGTAGAGGTTGCAGGGGTTGCAATTGCAAAAAATATGAAAACAGTTACAGACACCAACTTTGACCTTACCCCCTACCCATTTTATTTCAGAAATTTTATCTCATAGATTGCTACTGCCCTTTGGGCATTTAACTTGGAATTTTGTGCCTTATTACAGATTTAATATATGTATGCTTGTATGGAACACTTCTGCCCTTTGGGCATTAAACTTGGCACTTTGTGCCTTGTTACAGACTGAATATTTGTATTCTTGTATAGATTGCTTAATGATGATGGCTGAAATGATTTTAGAAAATCCAAAATAGTTTCACCCACAGACATTAGGAGTTTAGGTTCCTAAACTAGTAGTGAAACTCAAAATTGTCTAAACTGTGGGCGAAATCCTAAACTGTCAAACCTATGATTAAAAAATTTATAAATAACAAAACTTTAACATGTTAATCTATTAATTTAGTTTTGACTTTACTATTATTATTGTAAAAAATAATGTAATAATAATAAAAGAATTAATATTTTTTTCTTTTCACCAAGAGACATGGCTAGTTCGTCTTCAAATGAGCAACTACTGCCATTAAAAAACAAAAACTAAACAGACAAAGTTATAGTTGGACATTGGCAAGAAAAGCTTATCTAACAGTCCCAGGTCATAACATGCATAGTTAGAAATTTAAACACTAATATTAATATATTAATAAGTTTGCCAGTTTAGGAGTTTCGCCCACAGTTTAGGAATTTCGCACATAGTTTAGGCAATTTTTGAGTTTCGCCAATTTCACCAGAAAGTTTTCAAGGGCGAAATTAGGCCAAAACCAAAATTGCCTAAATGCCTAAACTATGGGTCAGTTTCGGTCACCATCATAATATTGCTACTGCCCTTTGGGCATCAACTTGGTCCTTTGTGCCTTGTTACAGATTGAAACATGGATGCAGTATGGAGTTCTATAATGAAACCACTTGTTATTGAATTTGCTATAAAATTTGGGCCTTGAATGGTAAGGAGACCATTTAATATACAAAATTTGTTGGGGGGAAATGTTTTTGTGGCAGAACCCTATAATTACCCATCAAAAAATGGAAGATAATTGTAATGAAGGAAAAACAAACAACTGGCAATTATTCCTAATCAAATAAACTTTTAAGTGGATTTAATGAAAATTACCCTGATGCAAAAACTCGGAACCCTAAAATAAATCGTGTAACGATCTTCAAAAATAATAGATATTCAGTCAACTCAATCGTGTAACTTTTAAAAATCATTCGATACAACTAAAAAAAATTTTTTTTCTTATAAATCAAACATACAGACCAATTAATTGAATTACAACAATTAAATCACTTTGATACGTATAATCTTTATAACTAAAATATCGTTTAATATGAAAAATTCATCGTCTTCGACATCCTTGTTTACGCCATCTCTTAAAAGTGAGGAAGCAGAAGACTCTAGAATAAATTTGATGAAAAGAAGGAGGCATTCGAGTAGAATGGGGTCAAATAATGGCTTAATTTTAGATAAGGAGGTGAGTTGCGTTATAATTTTTTAATAATTGAATAACCGATAAAGATACTTGTTTGCATATTTTAATCCCCCCCGTGTTTGTTCGAGAAAATACTGTTACTTCTACACATATAAATATTACATGTGTATAAAGTTTTCGACGAATAAACATTTAATTTTACTTTAATAAGTCATAATTGATGATATTTCAATATATATATATGTTTTTATTTATGCATTATGATCTCAATATGACAATAAAGTGTAATAAGAAAAATAAATCTTTTGATTTACCAACAATGAAGTCGCGTAATATACATTCTAATTCTATATCTTCTGATGATGATGGAACACCAGAACCTCCATCACCAGCTAATACACCTATAGCAACTGATCCATGTATAGTTTGTGGTGGAAATATGAATTCAAAATATCCAATTCTATCATGTGCCGGTTGTCAAGTATGCATACATACAGGTTAAACAAAATTTCTTAATATATTAAAGAATTTATATGTTGGTGAAATTTTTTTTTGTTATTTCTTTGAATAATTTTTTTTTTTCCTAAAAAAATTTTATTTCTGATCTTTAATAGATTGTTACGGAATAACTAATGTTAAACCAATGAATAAGATGTGGCGTTGTGATCCATGCTTAAATATAAGAATTCGATGTGCAATAAAAGTAAATTAGTTGTGTTTTGTTTTATTTTTAAATGTATTTATTTAATTGTCATAAATAATTATTTTTAAAATTTATTTAATAGATTAAGAAATGTTTATTATGTGATCAACCAGAAGGAACTAATAATTCTTTGAAAAGAACAAATGGAAACAATTGGGTGCATGTTTTATGTAGTGCTTTTATTCCTGAGGTTACCTATTATGATGCAAAAAAATTATTTGTTGCAATGGATGTCGATGATATAGATAAAGAATATTGGAATGCAGTAAGTTATAATGACAATGATGCTGGCGGCAATGATAATTGGATATAATATTGTTCTAATCACTGATTAATGATAAATTTCAACCCTTAATCATATTATTTTATTGTGGGAAAATTTAACTTTTATTTAGGTATGCACAATATGTAAATCTAGTGCCGGTGCCTGCGTTAAATGTTCGTATTATGATCAATGTAGAAATTTTTTCCATGTAACATGTGCTCGAGAAGCAGGATATAATATTGGATTTGAAGTTAAATCTTTTAATAATAATATTGGTGATTCCAATTCGCCAAAATATGATAAAGTTCAAACAACATTTTCATCAAACAATTTTAACAAAGCTATAAAATTGTTAGGTCGTGAAAACAACAATATAATGATATCGGATGAATATATAAATATTTCAGAGAAATATATTAATATTAATCATACTCAAGATAATATTAATAAATCGACTGCAGGCATGCCTGTTCACTGTTTTGGAAATGGTTTGGATGGTGAGATGATAGCGACAATTAGTTGCCATGATCATGGAAATTTACCTTATAACTTTGTTGGATTGAGCACAAGAGATTTGTATACCTGTCAAGTATGTAAACTTTATTAATCAAATGCTCATTTTAATTATTTTGATTAATTATTGATCTACTCATATTATTATTATTTTATTATAAAACATTTAGTCGGCAATCTATGTTTATATCAAAGAGTATAAACAATATGATACGTCTTCTCGTGAAAGCAAGATCAAAAAAAGATACAAACTTACAGTTCCAAAGAAAATAACAGATTTTATAGATTTACAAAAGCCATGGTTTTCTAGAGTGACCGAGGATATGGACATTGATAGTATCGAAGCTATGATTAAAGAGGAGGAGAAGAATTCTACTGAAATGAATATAAACCAAATGATGTGTAAAGACAATGAATACTCCAACGATAATCATCAGTTAAAGAAATCCAGAATAATATCAACGTCGTCACCAACTTATAAATGTATGAAATGTTCTATAAACAAGTCATTAAAATGGTGGCCAGAAAATTGGAAGTCTTTAACCAAAGATTCTAGACACAAAATCAGCGATTTAAATAATGTCGTGTGTCATATTTGTTACATCAAAGAACATAAAGCTTCGAATAATACTAATATTGTTAATAGTCATTACCACAAGAGGTCTGTTGAAAAGAACAATGGAATTCATAAAAAAATAAAGAAATAAAATTTTTTTTTTTTATTAATAATTGATTAAATTATATATATATATATTTGATTAGCTATTTTTTTTTTAAAAAATAAATAATAATTAAAAACTTCAATAAACACGTAATTTTATTTTTTAACCTTTAATAATAAATAATATGTGATGAATGTACCACATCTTAATGAACATTTTTTAATTATTAATTCAATAGATGTGCGAATTCAAATCGCTGATGTTTATGCAACTATTTAGTAGTATAATTCATTGTAGCCATATCTTATTCAATGATTTATTATTATTTTTCATTATGCAAAAATAAATAAAAATACGAAAATAATCAGATGATTATTTAAGAAAATCCTGAAAAATCATTTTTCAATGAAATACTGGGACCTTTACTCAATCCAACCTCATCATTAATTTTTTTTTCGCGTTCTTCATGTAATTTTCTTTGTTCTTGTTGTAACAAAACATTAAATCTTATAGCTGCTTCTAATTTTGATTTAGGCTCTGGCGATAATAAATTAACAGCATCTTTAAAATACGTTGATTGTGATGTAGCCAACGATAATATGTTTGTCATGGATAATATGTGCAAAGGTGGTAATGATTTTTGTTGAGGAGTGGTGGTAGTGGATAAATAACAATCTAGTGGTGGGTCTGCTAATAAGTGGATTAATGTCGGCAATATAATTGCTAGTATTATCGATTCTTCAAAACAATAAATTTTAATTAGTATTCTGTATTTATAATCATTCAAAATAATAATAAATATAACCAATCAGTCAATGGTCAATCATTCAATAATGCTTACTATGCGATTCATTTGTTACATTATTCATTGTTAATAATGTTTTAATTGCCTCTTCAACAACCTTTAATTTTTCTTCAACAACTTTTGAATCATTGATATCTTCAATCAAATCTCTGGATGATTCTAAAAACAAAACAACTTCTGGTATAAGAACTTTGGTAAATCGGTTACTTAGTTCAACTGAAGCTTTTGTGGTAGATTCTTTATTGAAAGTTTTCGTGGATAATAGTATTAATGTACGTGTGCATTGTAATGAAGTGATTGCGATCTATTATTTATAAACAAGTTAATAAATAAAACGATCAAAATAATTCGTATATATTATATAAGTAAACAAGTATGAATAAATTTATGAACTTACTATAGTATTTTCGGATTTATATTTATTTTTCAATATTTCCAAAAATTTATATTGTATTTCATTGTTATTCAAACAAGCATTTGGGCAAGATGTGAAAATTAAAACTATCGCCAACAAACAATTTTTTATTATAGATACTTCATTTTCATCCGATGTAGCTTCACTAAACAACATTTTTAATTAGATCAATAAAAAGTTTCAAACAAATCGCAAATCTTTAATTTAGTCTTACCTATTTAATAAAATTCTGGATATTGCAGAAGATATTGTGGATTGTAAAACCTTGGAATAATTTTCAAAATCTTGTTTTTCAGTAAATTGATCTTCCAAACTTGCACAAGACATTTTTAAATTAACTAATACATTTGGCACAAGATCATTTTGAAATTTCAAATCTTGTATTATGGCTATTATTTAAATAATAAACCATCAGGAATATTTAGACATATGAATGATTTCCATAAAAAATTCCTTTTTAAAATCACTTACACATATAAACATAAAATGCTATTGCCACCAAGTCAATCTTGTAATTTATTGGAACTATTGGAACAAGCAATGTAAAAATTTCTAGTGAAGCCTTTAAAACTGTTGTGGTTTGCTGTAATGTTTGACCTTTTGAATTTCCTGAATAATATTAATTTGAGAAAAAAATAAAAATCATTAATTAGTATGTATAAATTAATTTATTGATTTTATCATTATTTAAAAAAAAGAGATAACTAATAAATAAACCTTGCAAAGGCCTAAATGTTCTCATTGTAATAGGCCTGGATGAAAGTAATGATATTTTTTGAAAAAATATATTGACAAGCACTCTTAATATTTGGTATAATATTGTTTTTGATTTATCTTCAACATCATCTGCAGACAATTTATCATCATCTATATCTTCTTCAGTATGACCATTTAATTTTGGGGAACTAAATAAACGATAAAAATAATAATGATAATGCGAAGTTTTTTTTTTCAATAAAAAGCCTTTTATAATAATTAACAAACCTTTTTTCAGATAATTCACTACAAATATACGTTGCACCGTAGTCTTTAACAATATTTTTAATGATTTGAATTATGTCAAATTGTGTTTGAAATCCTTCTGTGAGTACTAATCTATCAAATAAATTCATTAATTCAACAAAATTTTGTTTATCTAAAAATTTAGTTCCTGCTGATATAGGTCTCAAAAATGCTTTCAATGCATTTATACATGTTTTAACAACCTTTTTATCTTCATTTTTGTTTAAATCATTATCGTTGTCACTGTTGATAGTACTTCCTCCTCCAAAAGTCTGCGACAATGCCTCAATACAAAGTCCAAACAATATAAAAAAATATTTTGTCGGCTGATTCTGAACCATTGTTGATGAAAAACTAAATGTTTCTTGTTGTTGTATGTCAGTAAATGAAGAAAATTCATCTTCAAAATCATCATTATTACTTGCATCATTAAAATCTTGAAATTCATCATTATTATCGTTAAAATCGTTAAAATCATCATCGTTTTTTAATGATGTGAAATCAATTTTGTCGTTTTCCTTATCATTCAAAGCAGAGATTATCAATTCATTTTCACTTTCTACCAAGCTTGCAACTGCTCCTAAGATTGTCAACCATGATCTATTATAATACTATATTCAATCATTTATCAAAAAAAAACATATATTCGTTTAGAAAGCTTTAGACCAATATAATAATAATAATAAAAACTCAATCTTAAATGACTTGGATAATCACTGGCAAAATGACTTCTCTTGTTAAACCACTGTACATTGAATCAAAAACCTCTGTTTGTGTGGTGTTTTGTAACAAATCTGATCCTATACTATTAGCTTGCGCCTCTGCAATATCTGGTTCAATTTGCACTCTAGCATATTCTTTTAAAGATGTAACCCACAATTGACTTAATAATGAAAGGTTTCTATTGAAAGTTCAGAAGTTAAGGCATTCATAAATATATAAATATAGTAAAATCAATCTATTTCAAAAAGGTTTGAAGGATACGGCTCAACAACTTGTACAAGATAAGATTGTTTAACACTTGAAACTTGTAATTCTGCCCATGCGTTTAAAACCGATAACTTTACCATTATTGCTGCGTGAGGGCTTAAATCTCCAATATCCCCAACAGTTGTAACACCAGAATTATCTATAATTTTAATTTTATAAGAAAAGCAAATGTTAATACAACATCATAAATATCATTCTTAATTTTATATTTAACAAATTACCTTTACAATTTTCTAAAGCAGTAGTCAGTAATTTCAGTATACGACCCATTCTATACAATTCCTTGACAATACCACTACCTACAAACACTGCACAAACTTTTACTGCGGCAGATAAAATTTCTGGTGATGACTCTGCTGTAAAAGCTGGGGTCAATGCAGCTCCAATTTGTGCCTAAATGTTAAGTTATATAAACATATAAACGTGTGTGCATAAAGGTGCATATATTGATTAATCATAAATACCTGGTATTGTTCTAATAATGCTGCTTCCTCAAACTCGGGATCTTGTGTTGCAGCAAATTTCTAAGTATAAAAATCCACAATATTAATCTAATATAAATCAAAGAATAATACTATATAATTAAACAACTTTATTAATAGCGATTAATGTGTAAATAATACCTCAATTAAATCTCTAAGTAATCTTAAGCCTTCTAATCTCATTTCACTCACAACAGCGGTAGAAGCTATGAAGGCCATTTTTATAAGTTCAGCTACTTTCAATACTAAAAAGTCATTATTGCCATTATTTTTAACTTTCTTTGCTGATATTAAATCGAAATGGCTTTTATCACCACTAGCATAAATTACTTCTACTACTTGATGTAAACATTTCATTGCAAATAATTGTGTACGCCACCTTGGTGGGATTTGTACTGAAGAATCATTCAAAAATTTTATATTTTTTTCTAGACTATGATTTTTAGTTGATGAATTTTTTATTGAGGTTTTTTTTGCGATACTATCAGATTGCTCTGCACCAAAACTTTCCACTTCTTCGTCATCTACTCCTCCGCCTAGCTCATCATCATCATCACCGCCACCACTAATATCTAATGATGGAGGCTCAATTGGTGCACCAGCACTAGCTATTGATCCTGTTTTGGACATAACTTTTCTACACAATTCTACCCATGTAGAAGGGCTATCATTCGCGGTCTGATTCAACCAACTTTTTACAATGTCTTTTACTCCATCGATCGTTGGGTCAGTGTCTAATAAGGAAAATAGTTGATTATCAAGGCCAGGAGACGCCACATCAAATACTAATTTTGCATTTTTTTGTACTAATTGATATAAACACGTAATGGCAACTTCTTTTAAAGGTAGATGCATGCTGGATAATTGATATTGTAAAAGTGCCACCAATTTGGGTAAGTCAACATATTGCTGAGCAAACATTATAAAGTGTTGTAAACATCTAATTGATTCCACCACAACCATTTGATCTTCGTCATTTCTTAATTCTACCATTAAATTCAAACATAAATCTCTGACCTTAGTACTTGTTTGTAATTCCGGGCCTAAAGTTCCTATCAATCCATATATGATTCTACCAAATTGTTGATAAGCTGATAAACCTAATCCTACATTGGTTGTTCCTACTGTACCACCACCTGGTTCATGAGTTTCTGACATATATAATTTTGCTATAATGCCTAAAGTACTACTTACATAGGGTGAAAACATCAAACCAGCTGATTCTATAGTTTTTGATAATGAATAAAGCGCCCAGAAATGTACTACGGGATGTGGGTCACTACTAAGTGACAATAATATTCCAACTAACGTTTTTAAATGGCTACCTGCTGCCATAGATCCAACATTACTGTAAATGCTACCGAGAGCTAAAGCACTTCCTGCACGTGTATCAGGATCACGATTGCTTACAACTTGATCCACCAATAATTGCATTTGTGTTGGTATCAAATTACCACCAGCAATCGATAACAATTTTCCTAAAGCATCACTTGCAGCATTTCTGAGATATGGGTCAGGATGAACTATTGCTTCTTGTAATAATTCCATTGCTAGTGAACCAACTTTTTTTTCAGCTATACTCGGTACATTAATATCACTTGTTGATTTTTTATTTGATCCAAAATTAATAATATTCTTAAATATGCATAATAATGCCAATACCATATTTACTTGAACTGCCATTTTCCTACCAGGACTTTTTTCTAATTTTACATGTCTAACAGCCTTCATCAACTGATCCAAATAACTTTCTTGCACAGTAGAACTTTGGAATGGAAATATTAAACCGAACAATTCAATACTATAATCAATTAATGCAGTGGCTGACGGTACTGGTTTTGGTAGCTTTAATGATGTTGTTGAAGATGATGAAGTTGATGTCCAATATGTTGTATAAATCATTAATGAGTCATACTCTGGAGAGCCAATTATTGGCTGTTCAAGCTGTTATAAAAAATTTAGTAAAAGGTTAATATAAATTGACGGCTTTCTAAGTTTTTTACTATAACACAAACACATGCATATATATAAATACGCTTATTAATTAACCCAATTTAAAATCTGCTTTGCATTCCCTTTTTTTACCTGATTTTCAACCTTACTCTCAACGAGATCTCGATTTATCCAATCTCTAGTAACATTGCCTTTGTTTTCGTTTTGATTATTATCAAAGTGATTGGCAATATCAATATTTATTCCTTGCAGTCTACTGGTAACACCAAAACCATATTCATTACCAGTTGTCCAAACACTAGTATATGATCCAGAAACTGCAGCGATTGCAGCTGTAATTGCCGAACCCATGTTTTTCTCAGGATCTGCAAAATTTGATAGGCAAATTTTCAATAATTGAGAACTTAGATTCTCAAATGATGAAACAGGTTTTATTAATATAAAACATTGAATTATTCTGCGTTTCAACATATTATCTCTATCTATGAATTTCAGCGATGTTGATGAAGGCAACGGGGGAATTATTGAGGTTGTTGAAGAATTTGGTGTAGTTGAAGAATTAGAAAACGTAGTAGGAACCAATGAAATGAAAGATAATGCATTACTTAATAATGCTGCGAGTCGTTTTGCCACATCAGCTGTTATCAATTTTGAATTATGTGATAGAAAACTTAACATAGCTCCTACTACACATTCTCTAACATGAAACATGAATGTCCATTCGCCTTCTGTTCGGTTAGAAACAGAATCTTTAGAAGATGGCTTTGGTAATGCAGTTTTCCATAGTAATAATAATTGTGGCAAATGAAGTTTAACAAAATTTGGCCCCAAGGACATCAATGAACCAACAAGTATCCATGCAACTTGAATTTGGACACTGGCAACCGCAAGGTCTTTATTAGAACTAGATTTAATTAGTTGGGTTGCCAATGAAAATACTCGTGCACTTAGTTCAAATGAGACATCAAGAAGTCTTGAATGTACAACACTTAATAATGCTGCCAAGCCATATGCATGTCCTAATGTTTTCTTTGGTAGATCTGGTGATGTATGATTACCAAGGTTGTTTAAATCCTTATTAAGTAAATTGAGTGTTTTGGTTATAAGATCAGTTAATTTGATAGGTAATGAAAAGCACAAACATCTTAGACACCATGCAGTTGCAACTTGAACTGAATGGCTAGGATGACTTAAAAGTAAAACAAGTGGATTCATAATCACATCCTATTATTTAAAAAAAATTAGTATTTATTTAAATAAAAAACTATAATAATAAATATAAAAATTTACCAAAATAGTATTTGCAGCACCACCCAAATCAATCAATAAACCGGATATTTCATTAGCTGCACAAACAAGAGCCCATTTGCTAGGTTCTGTTTCAGTAGGCATTAAAGCAGGCCATTTTTTAATCCAACCATTAGCAAGTTCTCTGACAGCAGTTAATTGACCTTGTTCACTCAATAATCTTGTGCCTATCACATCACGCAACAACAATCCACAGTGTTCACGTACATTAAGGACATCGTAACGTGATGGAGAGCTTTTGACGTTTGAAACTAAATCATTTAATAGGTGTTGAGCAATAGTAGCATAATGAACTTGAACATATTTTGTACCCAAGTTTATAAAAAGAGAAGAATATGTTTCAATTATAGCAGCTCTCATTTCCCTGGTTGTAGATGATTTTTTATATATAGAGGATAAAATTGAAAGCATTTCTTCAACTGACAATTTTGGTGAATCGGCAGCAATATCCTGGATTGAGTTTGAAGTAGGACTTCCTGAAGAAGTTTGTGATTGTTGACTCGATGAGTTGTTTTTTGATGGAGGTGATGTCGAGGTTGATAAATAATCTGCATCACATTGTGTTTGTGCTAACAATGTTGCCAAATATGAAGCCACAGATCTTCGAATTGTTTGATTTGATCCATCAAGTATTTTTACCATTTGTGCAATTATTTGGTCAAGTTCACTTTTTGTAATTGGGTATTTTTGATTTGTTAATTTAGCCATTGTGTGCATGCACTATTATACAATGGTAGCTTAGATTATTAATAAATAAATAACTTTATATATATATATATATATATATATATATATGCTATTACCTCAATTGCAGCAACTCTGATTATTAATGCTTTATCATTTAGACTAGCTTTTAGTTGTTTCATAATATCTTTTATAAGGCCTTCTGTTGCTGCTTTACTAGCACCTTCAAATGATCTTGTGATAGTGTAAGTAGCTTCTAATCTAATGATTAAAGGCTATATAAATTCAACAAAAGAGAGTAATTTAGAAATGGTTTTATGAATATCTTATTATCAATTTAATTAGGAGTTGAATGTTTTGTATAAAATCATAAAATCATCATACGTTATTTGTATTTTTAATTGTTTTTAAACAAATATTAATAGTTTCAGGAAATAATGATAAAATTCTATCACCTAATGATTTCAAAATAACACCTATGCAATGTAATGCAGCTCTGAAAAATTCAAAAGAAGTAATTATATATATATATTTAAAGATTAAAAATAATAAAAATAATTTTTGAGAAGCAATTTTTTATTGAATTAAACCAACTTACAGTTTTGTTTCTTTTTCACCTGTACCTTTGCTCACCACACCCAAAATGCTTTGTAATGCGGTCACAGTATCAAACAGACTTCTTGAATCACCTTTCACATAAATAATTACAAAACATCTTGCAACCAAATTTCTTATTGGTCTACGAGGTTTTGGCGAGACTAGAGAAATAATCTTTAATAATAATTTTTCTAAATTTACTTGATGAGACTTTATAGTATCCTGTGTTATTTATTAAGAAGGAAGCAACAATTAATTTAGTGATAATGTATAATAATTATTGATTGATTGAGAAACTTTAAATTCATCGAACCTTGTCAGTTCTTTTAAGCTCTCGTTCTAGATTAGATAGCCAATTAAAAAGATATAACTCTTGTTTTTCTGGATTAGCAGCATTCGATGAGAATTTATTCTCGTCAAATTGAAAAGGATCGGTTGCGCTGAGAGCAGGTGAGTCTCTACCAGTTGAGCCAGATACACGTGGAGAAGACATTCTTGCAAATTTTAGATCATAATCAAAAAACTGAAATTAGCAACTTTTTTCTTGGGGGAGTGCCCCAAATGCCTTATTTTTGGGGGCGGGCGGGTTTGCAAATTTTCGATGTTACACGTGAATCATAACTGTGAGTTTTTGAAGGTGGTTTTTGGAATTGGTTTTTGTTTTATTTAAAGAAAACATGAATTATATGCGTTTTGAGTTTTAATAACATAATAAATCATAAAGGAAACAGAATCCATTCAAAATAAAAGATTTTTCTGTTTTACAGAATCAAAAACGTTGTAAATATTAAATATTTAATTACCGATCCTTTTATTATCGGCAGAAAATTTTCAAATATTATTAATTGGCAATCCGTTTATGAATGGGTGCAATGTCGATCATTTTATTATGAAATTTTGTTGCTAATTGTTATTAATAAAATGAGAAATACCCCAAATCTCACCGTCTTCACAAGTTATTTCTCATGTACACACAAAAAATATAGAAAACAACCTTAGAATTCTTTCAGGCTTGTTAAATACCTCTTTAAAATTCTTTTGCAGTTATTTTATTGACTTGACTTATAACAATACATAGGTTCATTTGGTGGGTTTTATTAAAATAAAAGTTTTTTTGTTAATAAACCGATAAAAAAAAGAGCATAACTCTGGTCAGAATACTTGATAGTGTTGGCTGAAAGTTAAAAAATTCCGAATTTTTATATATTATTGACTTCTTGAAATCTCAGCAGCCTACATACAAAAGTTTTCAAGAAACATTCCAAACCCTTTAATATTTTAATACAGTAATCTATGAGATTTACTTTATATATAACATAAAAAGAATAAGTTTGTAATACAGAAACGTTGTGCTTTATTGTTTGTTAAACATTATTGATTGGTGATTTTTTTACATTTTTGCCCCGCCAATCACACAAAAATTCTCTCATTCATTCACGGATCATCAATTAATAAAAAAATTTTTGATGTCGATCATTTAAAGAATTGCAATCAACACAGAAAAAAATTGTTCGCATTACAATGTATCGCTTTCTTGTTTTGCTTTCATGCTTCCCAAAAAATTCAGTTTAATAAAAGTTTACTAACAAAGCTCTTTTTGCAATTGTTTATTTTTATTACAATTGCAATAACAGCAATTTCCATAACAATTACAATTACAATTGCATAAACAATAACAATTACAATTACAATTACAATTATAAATTACTAGAAAAATGGTTTGAGGAAATTGCCTTTTCAAGAAATCAAATGGCAAGAATCTGCACGATCAGCTTGAAATTTTAACATAAAAAAATAACTTTTAACTAAAATGAAATAAAATTGGGTGACACCATTTCCATTCATTATATTATAGTGTTATATTATAGTGTTAATTATAGTGTTAATTATTAGTAAATACACTACCCGGAAAAAAGTATTTGGACACCTATTTACATTAATTATCCAAAAACATACATAATACCCGCACATAAAATTTATATTATTTTATAGCTTAGGTTTTGAAGAATATTCATGTAAAATTTTATTTTTTCAGCTTATGCGAAACCTTAATAAATAAAAAAATACGAATTTCAACCAAAATTTTTTTTTCCATTTTGATCGTCAAAATTAAATTGGAAACAAAAAAAAATTAATATTCAGTTGGCCATCCTTCATTAGAAATGCATGCTTCAATTCTTCTTGGCATGCTTTCAATGAGTGTATGCAATTTTTCGTAAGGAATTTGCTGCCATTCTTCTTTCAGTGCAATTTCCAGTTCACTTGCATTTTTTGGATGATTTTTTCGATTTTTTAATCTCCTTTCCAGCTCACTCCAGAGATGCTCAATCGGGTTAAGATCAGGCGATTGAGATGGCCATTCTTTTAATATTTTTACTTTGTTTGTTTGCATACAAATTTTAACATCATTGGCTGTGTGAACTGGTGCATTATCATCTTGATAAAAATAACCTCTCCCATCAAAATCACT